AGTTTTGGAAAAATCTAAGCTGCGTTGGCTCTAATTTTTACTAACTATCAAAATCCTTGTCATAAGTTTTCGTAAAAATCATTGCGTTGAACCTTCATATTCTTTAGAATAAAACTGATTTTTTGATTCGCGTAACCTATACCGTTTGATTGCACAAACTGGAAGTCGGGTTTGACGAATTGAATATTTGGAATGTTATTGAACACCATGTTCTGCTTCATTTTGAAGGTATGCAATTTTATCTTCTTGGATGTCAAAATAGTTGCATCATGTGTTTCGCTGCATCCAATTTTTTTACTTTGCGTTAAAGTCTCTGAGTCAGCCGAAAAGAATCCACGTTCTCCTTCATTTCGTGGATGTGCAATTTTACCCACTTAAAAGTCGAAAAAGTTGTATCACGCGTTTCGCCTCTCTCTACTGTGCGTTAAAATCTTTAAGGGAGTTCACTCCGAATGCGTGGGGTCAAAAATTACGGATGATTCCTGGGTCAAAGTTTTCACATTTTGGAAGGAGGTGAAGAATATGTGTCGGCTGTAAAAGCTCCTTGCTCAGGCAGGGTGTCTACAAGTCCGGAAATAGTACTGATTTTTTAAGAGCGGACCGGAAGTACTGAAAAAGTGCGGAAATTCTGCAAATCGGTCTTGATTTTTTTTCATTTTTTGTCATTTTTGTCGCAATCTGAGCGAAAAATCCATTTGAAATTTCCAAATTCCGTCAATTGGAATTTGGAGGTACTGAAAAAGTACTGAATTTTTTTGTTGAAGAGGTACTGAATTTTCTCGGCATGCACTGAAAAATTACTGTAAAAGTACTAATTTTTGGCCAGCCTGTTTTAGTAAACACCCTGTTTAGGCCGCAATATGCTAAAAAATCGACACATTTTCTCTCAGCTCGTAGATTTTTACGCGCCTGTCGTAGCATTTTCTTTACCCCCTATCGGAACTCTACGTATATTTTGACGCGTAGATTAGTTTATCATACCGATCAGAAGGGCAACGGGGGAGGGGGGGGGGGGGGGGGGCTTGTTCCCATCTTCCATCATGCCACTGTCATCGTCAATTTCCTACCTCTCAATTATTGCACCTGTCTCATCTTCTCAGCATATGTCCAAGGCATTTCGCGTTTTTTAACGAATGTTCCCATTGTATGTTGATTGTCGACTTCAGTCACGATATTTCACGCTTGTCTTCATCTTGTTGTTTTGAAACATTATAATCGGGCAGGATCTTAATGTTGAGGTGAATTATTGCAACTGTTCCTTGTCTTTTAATTCTGATAACCAACGGAACAATCGAAACAAGCATAGTTATTGGTTAGAATTTCTCGGTGAGAAACACGTAGACATACTACCTAGATAGAATATTTGTCTGATCTGATCATATTCTAATCGAATCATGGAAGTCGACATCGAAAGGTGTTGGAATTTTTAAGCATTTAGCCAATAGGGAGCGCTTTTTTCAACCTGCCTCTTTAATTGTATAGCGAGATCTCCTCCTCTTTAATTGTATAATTATGTGAAGGAGAGCGTCTCATTTGTGTTCTATGTTAGCATTAATCATATTCTAAGTACATTTTGCTGTCTGTTTCAGGTAAGATTATCAGCCCTTTTGAAGTGCAGACCAAGCAAGTTTGGTGCCGATAAGGTATGCTCCTGCTCCTTTGTTTTCTGTTTTAAAGAAATGTTTAACACTACTTTATGAAAATAATTTTTACTTTATGATACATTTTTATATTAATTACTCAAATTAAATCATGAATCTTAATTTTGGATACTCCTTTATTTTTACTCCAAATCAGTCCATCAATTATTGAGAATTTTATTTTTTTTAATCCTTAAGTTTTTATCTTTTTTTATGGGCTTTCAATATTTCATATTCCCTAATATTTTATTTATTTTTATGTCATTACTTTTAAAATTATTTTATGCTGTAAAAAATTGATGTGTATTATATGATTGCTAGTGATCTTTAAAACGTCTTAAAAACATGAAGTCGTGAAACATTTGACATAACTGTAGCCATCGTATAAGGCGACACTGGCTTTTTTCTCTTCGAAAAATTGAAATCGAAGCGCAAATTCTGAGCAATGGATAGAGGTTGTTTCGCTCTTTTATCATCGACATTTTCCTCAATTCAAACGTGTGTTAAATAATAAACTCAAGATGAAAGAGACCACTTCACCTGGAATCGATTTTTATAATGGATTTAAATGGAGGGAACCGTTGTTGCCAACGTGTAAGAATCGCCACTGGGAGGAATCGCTCGGTCTGTGTTGTGATGTTTGTTGCGTCTGGGGAGTTGAGGACACGGGCTATGATGGTGACGACCGTTATATCGAGTTGCATCAACGAAATAGCTCAACACTTGAATAGCCAATGAGCCGAGATTCCCCCGGANGGGGGGGGGGGGGGGGGGGAGGGCACGCAGTAGGAAGATCCTCCAACCGCGTCAGTGCAGTGGAAAGGCGAAACAATCCGTTGCATGTTGCATCCGTGAAATATTCACCTCCAGAACTGCAATCGCTGCGGATCGACTCAGTGCAGGGTGTCTAACATCAGATAAAACCGGAAAATATCAGGAATTTTGGCCTATCAGGAAAATAGGAAAAATCTGACGTTCTATCAGGAATTTTTCCAACGCGAATTTCCTCAGCGGAGAAGTCTTACTGCGTTTTGCCTTCTGTGCTAGGAGTCGTCAAGAAATCAGGAAAATATCAGGAATTTTCAAATGAAAAATCAGGAGTTTTTTATAAAATATCAGGAATTTTTTATAAAATATCAGGAAAATATCAGGATTTTTCAAAATGAAAAAATACTAGACACCCTGAGTTGGCGGGTTACACATTGCATCAAAATGGCTCGAAATCCGAAATAAGTCATGGCTAAATTTATTACAGGGCTGCTACAGTTAGGGAAAACCGGGAAATGTCAGGGAACTTTGAATAGTCAGTGAAAACGACGAAAATGTCAGGGGAAATTCGTTGAATCACCTTTATTTGCCTCCTAGTATCGCTTCCTGATTCACACGTATTAAAATAAAGTTACAATAAAAGAGGTAGTATTCGTTGATGTTCTTCTCTCAAATAATGCACAAATCGTACAGTAAAACTCCTTCAATTCAACGTCGGAGGAGCTATTTTTTTTAAAATTTTCCGGGGGAGGTCCACCCTTCTTAATCTGGGGAGGGGGGCACCCACAAACCCCCCATCCGACATCAACAAATGCCTGNCCTCCGACTCACTTTGGATCCACCCAGAGACAAGAGACCCTCCACTAGTATCTTGGCCATGGTGGAAGCTTTTACTTTTGGGACATCAGCATTCTGCAGTTGACTTACCTACATGGTTGATGTTTAACAACGTGTTGGAAGTTTTGTTTTGCAAACAAGCCGAAAATGGCCGAAGTTTGGGAAACTTGTTTGGCTCATGATGTCACTCGAAGCTCATCATCCACTATGTAGGTAGGTCAACAGCCGAAATTAGGGTGATGACTGTTGCTTTCTTATAATTTCCCATAAGGAACTGTTGAATCCCCGAAAGTAAAAACTTCCACCTGTCGCCAAGAGGCCAGTGGAGGGTCTCTTGTCTCCGGATCCACCACCGCGACGAGTCCATTCGCCACTTGCCAAAAATCGTCCGATTCTAACGGGACACGAGTCCGTTGTGCGACTCGAGAGATGAAAAGCTTTACGATCTTTGGAAGCAGGAACCAGTTTGGCGGATCGGCCGAAGCCTCAAGTCCAAGATCCCGACCCCGCTCCCCTCCCGAGCCCGCG